AGGACGTGACGTTGTTGCGTAATAATATGCTGTTTTTCTTTTGACGTTATTGGTGGGCTATTGTCTAATCGTGTCATCTTCTCTGTGAGGGGAGCCGTTAAGCAGAGGCAGTGTCAGGTCACAATGGGAATTAACAAAATCTCCACACATTTAAAATCAACATTCAGCTTGAAGGATTGATTGCTATAGTTTATTTGATAAAGCTGTCATGGAAATAAACATTGGTGCAGTGCTTGGGACATGCAAGAAGCAACACTGCCTTTAGTGAAATTACTGTACTCCTCATACTGTATTATTCTGATTACTTTTCCTCTCTTTTCCCCTTGTGACTGCGGGTATATCAACAATATCAAGCGGATCACATAGCTTGCTTGTTGGCAACCGTTGTGTAACAAAGCAAAACTTCCTCCAACAATTTAAATACATTTTTCTTTGCATATGTTGTTTTGGATGCCAGGGACAAAACACTGCAGTATTAAACATGTTCTGTACTTAGTAAAGACTAAACTTCCAAGTCTCTGCGGCGCTAACAGTTGCATAATGTCTAAGATAGTATAATGCCTGAGAAGTGCTGAACAATCCTTTGTAATGCCTCATTTGAATATTTATTGTTAAGAAAAAGAAAAAAGAAAGAGAAAGAAGACAGCTTTTAGGACCAAAACATTTGAGCATATTATCACTCTGTCATTATTGGTCTTGGCAGCGCGGTAGAGTCATGCATTCTCAGTGCGATCGTCCTCCTGAGTTGCGGTGCCTGTGGTGAAACTAAGCTGCAGTCTTCACAATCTGTTTCACCCTCCGAATCGGTATTTCCAAAACAGGCACTTATAAACTGGAATTCCTCCAATTACTTTTCAGGTTTTTGACCCACTCTCTGCATGAAATGCAAACTAGCGCAGGCTTTGTGTTTGAAATTGCAGCTCTGAATGCAGGTGCATATCGAGGATGTTTTAGATTAGAAGAATTCTACAAAAAGGGCCTTTTTCCAATTTTCCTTTGAAGCTTTGCACTTAACAGAATGCAAAAAATCAAACATGTATCCCATGAGTGTCTATTACTTTATGTATTTGAATGTTCATCACGAGGTAGATGTAGCATTTGTAAACATTTCCTATTTTAAATAATTGGAAGTTTTGGGGATTGTGCGGCATTGGCAGAGGTAGTGCTCCATTAATGCTCCCTTGTTTCTAATATAGGCTGTAGAAGTCAAGTTGTTTTTCCCTCACTCACTTCAGCCATTTAGCTTAAGTTCTACCACAGGGGACCATCCAGTGATAGTGTGCGTCGTCCTTCAGTTAGAGGACCAGCGGCTCCGCCAGTCCATGTCGACATGTCCTCGGGCAGGCCGGGTGCTCCCGTATGTGCCTGCAGTGTATAAATGGGTATGATTGGTTAGCTACTCCTGATAGGCAGGTGGCAAATTACATGCCTCTGTCATCAGAGTGTGAATGGGTGAGTGACATGTTTTGCGTAGTGCTGTGAGAGCTCGGAAGACTAGAAAAGCCCTATACAAGTACAAGTCCATTTACCATGCCTGCAGTAACTCATAGTAATAATCAGCTGTCAGGTAATCACAAGTTTGCAGGGCGGCAGGATGATGTGATGTGTAGGACCGCTCAATGAACTACACAGCTGTGTCAATAAGTGCCTATACTCAGTTCAGGTTTTCTGTTCTAGGAGTGCTTGTCTGCACCTGAGAGTGTGGGGAGTTAACTTCAGAAATCTATACAGCGTCACGTAATATACTCACGGTTGTTATTGTTGTACTTGACGCGGCCGTAAAATGCAGTTTATGTCGCTGACATGGTTGCCAGTGAAGACTGCTGCATTCGAACTCCCTGTGTTAATGCTAATCAGCTTTCGGTTAGGTCTGAGTCACGCGCCCCCGACTTCTCCCACAGTGAGCATCGTTTACACAGTGTCGTTAAAATGTATTAATATTAGTTTATAGTTCATCTTAATCTGTGGCAATGCTTTTAATTCTGTACAAGTAGTGACAGGGAGGCCCAGAGGCATGGACTCAGGTGGGTGTTGCTGACATAGAAAGGGATCTGATGAAAGGTACTGTGCAGAGGGCTTAAAAGCAATTATAGCAGCTGACATTTATTGAGACACTTTGGACTGTTTTTCAGTATACTGAAGACTTTCATTTCACTTGGCTCATCCATCTCCAAACTCATATTAATTTTATGCTATTGGTTATTTCAGAGGAATGCTGCTAGACCATGACTGATGTTGTGCATACAAAGGGTGATATTCTCCCTTATGTGAGTGCAAAGATTCATTTTTTTCTGCAGTGCTGATTGTGTGCTTGTTGCAACCAATAAAGCTATCAAATTCAAATCTGCTCACCACGTAGTTGGTCTTACTCTAGCTGGCCACAATGTTATGGTCAGTGTATTCTAGTTTAACTGCTCGTCAGCTTATCCTGACCTCTGTCATGTTGCGGATACTAAGTCATTTCATTTCAAAAGCTAGTAAAAAATTGGACAAATCTGGATTTCGATTTCTTCTTGAATTCCACTTCTGTGCAGTTTTGTTTATTCCAAAGCACACCATGCATGTCATGCTGTGTGCTGACTGTTCAGTGCTCCAGAGGAGTTGTTTTACTAAACATCACCATGGCTGCTGAAGTGTGTGTGTGTGCGCGCATGTGTGTGTGTGCGTGTGTGTGTGTGTGTGTGTGTGAGTGCGTGTCACAGTGCATCAGCACCCACAGTCAATAAGGATTACCCCCCCTCTGTGCAATCTGGCTGGTGAGTATGTGTGTAAAGTTTGAATGTGTGTGTATGTGTGTGCAAGAGTAAACACAGGACATAGAGAGAGCAACAGACAGAGAGCATATATCATCTGTGCTCTGACAGGGCAAGTGCAGTTACCTGAGGGAGACAATCAGACAAAGGTAATGGATTTAGAGTAAAGGAACAAAACATCTTAAGCCTGGGGCTTCACCACACGGACAGTCTGCAGATATAGATTCAGCGAGGAGTCACACATGGCTAATGGAAACAGTGGAAGAGGAAAGACTTGGACCTTTGCATGAATTACTGCATTTGACTGCATACAACATGTAGTATAGTGCTTGTTTCATAAATGAATAATGATGATGCAGAGTAACATACTGCCATTTATGCTTCTTAGAGGATGTTCCTATTTAAAGCCATCCAGCGCTGATCGAGTCTATACGCTTAGGTCTTAATTTGTGTCTCAACTGGAAACGAAAAAATTGGGATTTGATGCGTTAATGACTGTGTGGGTGTGTTAACCACACAGGTCTATTCTACTCTATGTGTTTTTGTGCACACTTCACTTTAAATGTGCCTTAAGAATGTACTTGTATGCCGTTTTTCTTACTGAAACTATAAAGTCTGTGCATTCTGCTATTAGAGTGTGACACAGTGATTGACTGAGTTTGCACTTGACTCTGTGAAACAGCTGACGTTGATCACTTTTAATTAGCTGATGGTACAGAAACTACCCAAAAAAATGACCAAAGTGGAAGCCCAGAGCACATTTCCACCCAACAGAAGTCCTCAACAAATGCCTCTCAGAACAAGGGGAGTGTGTCTGCAGCTCACACTACTCCTAATTGATCTGCTTGTGTCTTTCAGTGAATCCAAGGGACACAAGCAGATCAATTAAGAATGGAGTTATCAATACTGAGCTGTATTGTGTAACAGAACATCTCTAAATAACATCTCATTAGATGAGCGGTTGTGATATAACTTACACTCTGGGTACAGAACATGAATCATGAAACCAGTAATTGCTCATAAACGACAAACAGTGTAACAGCCAAAGCTGCCCTATGGCTTCATTTACAAATTAAAGTCAAATGTAGTCAGTGGAGTCTTTTCAGTTGGTTATCACACTAAATAACTGGTGCAATATATCCGTGCTTATTGATATTGTATGTTTAATGAATACAATGTATGCTTTTACTAAATTATTGTTTTCTTATCATTTTTACACACTCTTCATTTGTATGTGACGTGTTTCTGGTGCAGCTGCTTTTGTCTTTTAAGTTTTGCCGTTTTCATCCCAAATGGAGAAAATGATAGCGCTCACAGACCTTTGATTCAAGAGTTTTGGTTCCTGACATCCTATAGTCCTAAAAGCCCAAATAGGCTCTTTGGTTGCTCATGTTTTGTTTCTTGTTTTTGCACTTAAGCACACATTCCAGTAGTATCTCCTTTACATTGTTATTAGTATATTGAAGTTTGGTCTTATACGACCTTTAACCATCATATTTTAGTTGTTTGCTAGATAACATTGCACTCTACCTGGTGCTTTAGTCTATTTATCATAAATCCGGCATTTGTTGCACTAAATGCTCAAGGACCATCCACTGTATTCAGCCTTTGCAGCATGAACAATCAATACATGTAATACTTCTATTCCCGATGATTGTTTCATAACAACAGTGAAACATGATACACGGTCAATACTGCAGCACTGCTTTGCACCGTATAAAGTTATGACAGAGCAGTCTTTAACAGCAGTGAGTGAGTATTTGCTGATGTATTATTTCCAGTGGGTGATTAGAGTAGCGGTTAGGGGTTGTTTTTGTTTTTTAACCTTTCGAAAAACTTAATTCACAGTCTTATACTTCGCACGACATGCAAATGTATGCTAATGATTTTCAATGGCAACCATTATGTGTGTGCTGCAGATCTTCTGCTTACGAATACTTTCAAACTCTTAATAACTATTTGTTGCAGCCTCTTCACTGTATATCCAAGTGAATGATATTGGTTGAATTGCTATTTTTGAGCATGCAGTCATTTCACCTGCAGCAGTCGTTGCTCAGAGTGGCTGTGATATACTGGGGTGTTTCTTTTTTTTTCAAAATTGTAATGCATGCTTACTGCTCTGTCAGCACTCGCAGCTGAGTACTTGAAATGAGCAATCAATAATCACTCTTTCCTCGTTCTTTCTCTCATCTCACTCCTGCCCTCTCTCTCTCTCTATCACTTTCTTTCTATGCCCCACGTTTGCAGGTCGACACATCTCGATGAGTGAGACCCACTGATCCAGTCATCCCTTCACTCCGAACCCCTCTCCTCCTCTGTTGCCCTAAACCTAACCCCCCTTCACTTCAGTCACCATGACTTCCACCAACCAACTCCTGGGTTTGGCTGAGGTGAGCCTGAAGTGTGACCAGGAGATTGAGAGGAGATACGAGATTGTTCCCTCGGTGGTCTGCTCCATGTGCTGCCTCTTTGGAATCATCTACTGCTTCTTTGGTAAGTGAGGATGTAGTCAAGGCTTCTCTCATGAGGTTTGTGCTGGTACTAATAGGCATGCTATAAACACAGCTTGCCACAAGAGCTAATTGCCATCAGTTAAGAGTACCCTTGCTGCTCTATTATTGGCACAAGAGGTCTTTTCACCCCAGTTCCATTTAATATACCTACAGAAACTAATGTGTCCTGTTCAGTCATCAGAGGAATAGTTCAACATTTTTGGGAAATTCACGTATTTGTTTTTGTGCCAAGATTTAGAAGTCTGTACTTTATATGCAAATCTACTGTCAGCAGCCAGTTAGCTTAGCTTAGCACAAAGACTGGAAACAGGGGGAATTAGCTAGCCTGGCTCTGTGCAAAGGATACTAAATCGTCCCAACTAGCACATCTAAAGCTAATTAGTTAACACATTGTGTAATTGTTATTTAATCGGTACAAATGTAAAGAGGAAGTGAAATGGCCTGATGCAGTTAACCCCCATAGCCCCCCGTAATATAACAATGAGTTGTCTTTACATTCTGGTTTTTATACATATTAAACAAACAAGATATAACATGTAAATTAGTGAGCTTTGGTGGTGCCTGAAGGCATATTTTGTTACCTCAGAGCAGAGCCAGGCTAGCGGTTTTCCTTTGTTTCTAGGCTTCATACTTAGCTAAATAAACCATCTTGTGGCTGTTATTTCATACTCACCGAAACAATTTTTTCATCTAACTCTCAACAAGAAAGCAATAAGCATATTTCTCAGCATGTCGAACTATTCCTTTAACATTAGCTGAGCAGAATAATGTCTCATTCATCAGAAGTCACCTGTGCAGTGTGATTTTGCAAACAAACATAGCTTTAATGACAGACACGAAGGAAACACTTAAGAGTGACATGCAGCTGATATACCTTCCTATATGTGTAAGTGCCAGCACATAATTGGAAAGTGCAACATGTCGCCAACAAGCCCTGAAATCTCATTTCCAGTTGATATTGCTCTGCTGCTCTAAGATATTATTGATTTAAGAGCAGTACACAGAGGTTTTCTTTTTTCTGGTGATGTGAATCAATATTGAAATCTCATTCCTACAGACTAAGCTATTGTGGTATTGCTATATTTTTGAGTGTTTTCTTAGAATTCCATCAAATCCCAGAATATCTGTTCCTCTACACCCTATCCCAAACTGCTGTCATCAGCAGACTAACTAAAAAATTGGACTGCCTGCTGTCTGTTACAGAAAAAAAGCATCTTCTGCTCCGTATTCAAAGGCGTGTTGCTGTTTCTTTCAACTAAAAGTTACAGCTGCACTGCTGAAAGAAAAAGGAAGCACAGAGATTTGCAATTAAACCAAAACACCAGGCCTGGCTGTCTCTGTGCCATCAAAACACCAGGACTCATTCTTTATGCATGGGTCCATTCGTATGTTGAGACAAAAAAAAAGGCTGAATTTTGTGTGACTAACAGTGAGTAACTGTGTTGGATTGCACCACAAAAATGAAGGGCTCATCCTAATGAGTTTGGATGTAAAGTCATTACAGGGATGTGGAATCAATAAATAATTAGAGAGAGAGAGAGACAGAGATCCGCTGCTATGGAGTTGTTTTCAATGCAACAAAAAATGATGGAATCAAAATTGTATTTCCTCTTGAGTAGGGACTGACAAAATCCCATAGACATGCTCAGATAATGACTTTGGCTTTCAGAATGTTTCATGCATTTTTGTACAAAGATACAATTAATTTTAATATATTGCCTTGGGTTGGCTTACAGGGCTGTCTAATCATTTACTTGCAGCTATTTTCTAGGTAAAGAGGCAGTGTCAGAGATTTTAATCTTGCCGTGGCGGTTTTGCAAAGGACTGTAGGAATACAGGCGCCCGAGATCAGATTCATTTAAATTGTTTTTTTATGCTATTTTGCCTTTACTGGTCAGTAGACGGTAAAGAGAGACTTGAGCTCTCCTCCAGTGATACATCAGTAAACACTTGACCAACAGGACGAGCTACAAATGCTATTTGAGAACAGATTTACAAGATACTTTTTTGACATTTAGATTTCCAAGCAATAACACAACATAGAGCCGTGCAAGTTCTAAATGATCCCCTATGAAGCAGATAGAAATGTGTGTAGTTGAACCTCAATGCAACACACATTAAGTGTCTTCTGTTAAGCAAACAATGCACACAAATAGATAAGAGGGAGATTCGCTGAAGCGTACAGATGGCATTGACATTCACTCTATATGTCTTGGGTAAAGCATCATGAGCCTCAGTCCCTGCATTACAAACAGCTTACCCAACAACTTTATTTCCCCAAAGTTGACAGCATGCAACAAGACCATTTTGGCTCGTGGCCCTGAAAGAAAAAGGTTATACGTAGATCCTCACCACTAGTAGGGCAGAACATGTCAAGTTAGCCCTTGCGGGGTGCCAGACAAAAGAGCACGTCGTACGCCACTTAAAATTTACTTTGTCAGCTTCATTAGCATGCTAACATTGGAATCATTGCATTTAGAAAGATAAATGTTATAATGTTTTGGTTTTATGTACAAAATTAACACCAGCTCTGAAAGTTTCTAGTTGACAGAAACTTTAATTTGGAGAATCACACTGATTATATCATTTGTTTCATACACGCTTCCATAACATTAACAGAAAGGCGTCGTGTTACAGGATGGAACGGCATCATTTTACTTTAAATACTGCTACTCAGTCCTACACCATCTGTTGTCTGTTTGTTTCTCTGTTTGTTTGACAGCATACTCAACAAAAGAGAAGGTAAAAAGGTGCATTTTCACCCTCAGTGCCAGATCTTGCTCTAAACAAAAACACCGTTCTGCAAACAAGACACAATGGATATTGTTGGCGTTATTCAGAAACTCCACACTCACACATGAAATTACATTTCTGCAGTCTGAATGTTAATCTCCCTGCTGATAGAACTACAGAATTTGGAAAGTTCCATTGTCTTGAGAAGAAAATGTTAGCTGTCATTTATTTGACCCAAAGAACAACAACAAAGTTGGAGCATTAATGATGAGTGATGCTTTCGGGGCAAGATGGATGAGGCAAAATAAAAGAGAGGAGGAAGGGAGTGCTGGGTAAGCCAGAGTGAACAGATGGGATGGAAGGTTTGATGGCAGGAAGAAAAGTAAGGGAAGCAACGAGGAACAAAAGAGGAAGTAGGAGGGTTGGAACAGTGGGGGAGATAAGACTGAGGAGAGGAGAGGGAAGGATGGGTCAGAGCAGAAGATTAAGAGCAGTCAAAATGAGGCATGGTATTTAAAAATGTATTAACTGATTGATGGAGACTGATATTAAAGAACAATTTGTGATGGCCGCTGACCAAATGAAAGTTCAGGTGGTATGCTTTGTAAATGCTATTACTCCATGTCAGACTATTCATTCAGACATGCTGTTACAGAAGCCAGAAAACAGCTGTGAAAAAAATACAGCGGCTTTCACCGCACTTGTTATTTAAAGGGCTGGTGGCCGAAAGATACCAAGGAAAACACACAGGATCGAGCAGAAGGGAGTAAAGAAAGCTAGGTCCATCAAATAAACGAGGTATGTTCACGAGGGAGGAGCACGGACAGTGGGTTGGCTGAGAGGAAGAGTATTGTTTAGCTCAGCTGTGCAATGCCTGATTACACATAGATAACAATCTGATGTTGGATCCCCTCGAGACAGACAGGGAAAGACGGAACGATAGAGCAAATAGAAAGGGAGATGCAAATATTAATAAACACAGAAGCAAGGGCCAGGGAGATTGCACCTCTTTATAATTTCAGCTTTCAATGCTTTGCTGTCTTTTTTCGTTGGAATAAAGCAAATTATAATGGCAACAAACTGGTGAACGATAAAAAAAAAAAGAAGAGAGACAGCCAAGGACAGGAAGGAGCATACAATTGGAAAAGAAAAGAAAAAAGAAGGGGAGCAGCTGTTCTATTCAGCAGGCCTGTTGACTAATTAATGTGGATGACCTTTTGTAATACGATGATTATCATATTTTAAAGCAGTTTCAGAAAGGTTTCTAGAGACAGTTTATCTGCTCATAATGAAGAAATGCACCCCTCACCCACCACAGGCAGGTTGTTTGTTTTGTTTTTCATTATGCATCATCCCTATGTTCTCTGTTTAGAACAGCCTTTATCTTCAAGAACTTGCAAAAGCAATCTACACTCAGTCAGCTGCATTGAGAAAACTTTTCAATACAAGCACGAACAAAAGGAATACAATATTAAATCAGGCTGCTTTTGATGGCTTATCTGTAAAACATGAATGTCTATGGTTACTACTTGTAAAGGCTACCTCATTATAAAATGGTCCCCAAATACATATTCTTACTGTCACCATATGTTGGCTTTGATTTGTGTGTTTAAAGAGAAACCAAATCATATACACAGTCATGTACAGCATGTACCCGCATTTGTATGCTGGAGATAACCTTACAGTGGTCTGTTTCCCAACTCTCCTCCAGGCTATCGATGCTTTAAGGCCGTATTGTTCCTCACAGGCCTAATGTTTGGCTCTGTGGTCATCTTCATGTTGTGCTACAAGGAGAGGGTGATGGACACTCAGCTGAGCGTAGAGGCATCGGTGGGCATCGGCCTGGGGATCGGGACCCTGTGTGGCCTGGTGACCATGTTGGTCCGCAGCGTGGGACTGTTTATGGTGGGCCTGCTGCTGGGCCTGCTGTTAGGAGTGGCGTCACTGGTGGTGAGGAGACACATTTGACTGTGCACTATTTAGATTCATATTGATCTGTGTACAGAACGTCAAGGAAAATAACATATACATAATAGGCATCTTGTACTATTATCACACAAAAACCTTCTTGGGCCCAATCACATCAGAGAGTGGCAAGTGTATCCAGGAGATCCTGGACATGTTGAAATGACATTGAAATGATTCCATCGGCAGTAATGGCAGCGTCTTGATACAAGCTAGCTAGCTTTCTATTTAGCTTGTCATTTAGGGTGCTGGCAAAAAAGTTATCCAACTACAAAGCAGCAGAGCAGCACATTGAAACCACTACGGTAATATAATAACTGATTGCAAACCACATCACTAGACAGGCCTTCAGGTCTCCTATTTTTTGAAAAAGATTGTGACTGCAAGCCGTGATGCCAACAGTTCTTCATAACTTCGATCAGACAAACTCATGTTGTGGATTTACTTTGCCGCAATTAACAAATCCATTCAAATTAAATATGACCATGCCCTAATTCTGGTGATTAAAACAATAAAAACTGAGATTAAAAAAAAGCCAACTGTCAGAGTAAAATTAACCCTCCGCTCTCTCGCCAAGGCCATGGAGGAGTTCTACCACCCCAGAACAGTGTGGGTTCCTCTGGGTATTCTCCTGGGTTCTGGGACGCTATTTGCCGTCCTCACTCTTCAATGGCAGCGCTGCTTCGTCACCCTCTCCACCGCCACCTTCGGCTCCGCAATCATCACTATCACCGTGGACTACTTTATAGAGCTGTTTGCCTTGGTACACTACGTCTACGAGAGACTCCGGGTAAGCTCATCTGTGTGTTTCTGTGTAAACTCTTAGTGGCAGGGAGAAAGAAATGCTATTCATTTATTTTGAAGTCACCTTGAGGCATGTTTTTCTTTTCTGTGTGTGAATAATCTTTATGTTTGTGGGTGGTCATGTGTGTGTGTGCGTTTGATATGTGTGTGCATGAAGGAAAGGCTGAGGCTGAGTTGAGCATGAATAATACATCTTTAAATAGAGTATATGTAATTGTATGATGTCATAGTGGTAAAATGGAATACAGTCAGCTTCATACAAATGCAATTGAAAATCCATTTGTAGATAACATACCCAAATGGAAAAGTCTGTTGTGGATGAAATAGCCGACAACACTAATGCAAAAAATCCTGGAAATCCAATATTGGCATAAAACAGTTCATACTGCAAAACTGCCTGCAAAGGCTTAATCCAAAATCTGTTCCCTCATTTGATCCAAAATCTCCCACAGGAGATCAGTTGGGTTGTGATCTGGCAACGAAAATGGCCACTGCATATGATTTGAATCTTTTACCTACTTGTCACACAGTTCAGTGCCCTGCATTGAAGCCTCTTAATTTATTCAGTTTCTCCAGTCATTTATTTTGGTCCTTAATTAAATTTGTCACGGTCTGAATTTGATTTGTAACACTGCCCTAATCTAATTCTCAGCCATTATCAAATTTTCCAAATACCTATCAGACCTCTTTTCATTCACAGAGAAGAGATGAGGTTGTTTTATGTGACGAACCCCAAAGACTTCTGCACGTAGACACGTAGAGGCCCTACTGGAGCAACTGTGGTTTATGTTTCTTGTTTAAGACAAACTTTTGATGTTTAACATTCTTGTTGCTATTTTACTGCGTCATGCTTTTTACTGCAGGAATTCTGAGAACTTTAAAGAGCTTTTGAGAAACGGACTAAAGTGTCCCCATAGTGAGAAACTAGTTATTTTGCACATATGAATGGTTGAATTAAAATGAAATCGTTCATCTAAAATTGTAAATGTAATGTTTGCAGGTGGCGCCAAAGAGGTCGGTGTGCTGGTTTACTTGGGTCATCTTGGGGGTGTGGCCTGTCCTGTCCCTCCTCGGAGTGCTGATCCAATGGAAGGTCACTGCCGAGGGATTCTCTCACACAGAGGGTGAGTGATGCTGCTTCACGCACAACCAGACTCTTTTAATTATGTTCAAAAGCTCATTTTGGACACAGATATTGTTGTGGTGGGAGCACCGTGTTGTAGAAACACCATTTTGCCATATTTTATTTTGCTTCCGGGCAGCAAAAGATACTAGTTTTGATTTTATAAAAATGTGATGGAAATCGTGTCACATGACGTCAGTATGTTGCTCATTTTAGGAATAAAAAAAAAGAATATGAAGGCAAATTCAAGAATTGTTGAAGATTTATTGATCAAAGACATGATTTTGTTTTTAAACTGTCTGGGGTTCATGATTAGGTCTACAAAACATGAATACAACAGTGTTTCTATCGCTAGAAAAGCAAAACTGTTTCTCTTACAGTAAACTATAACCTATGAAGCCCAATTAAAATAATTTCACAAAACAACAGCAACACTGACCTTATAAAAAACTGGACAAAGTATGAGTTTTTCTACTGTCTATAGATTCTTTTGCATTGGTAATTGGATATTGTGTAAAAATATGTAGTTGTCACAGTATTGACAACAGGGCTCAGGACTGAAATGAAGACACTTGTAGAGCAGTTTGACTAAAAGAAGCAGTAGCGGAGACAGGTTACAGGTTACAGGTACATGCAGGGGAAATGGAAATGGGCTACAGAGTGAGGTGATATAGAAAGGTGGGAATAGACTAGGGACATATCCTGGATAAAGGGAATGGCAGGTTTGGAATATTCCATAAAAATTCAGCGCCCTGGGGGAAATGAGTGTCTGAGGCTGAAGGGACGTGTCTTTGCGACATGCCAGAAAACTGTAGCCAAGACTTTTCTGTCGAGGATTTTAATAAAAACGTAAGAAAAGCAAATGTATTCATGAAAATGCACAAACACGCATCTTATGAAATAAGATGAAATACTGCTGAAATAAAGCTACAGTCCGACACAAGCTTCTGCTCCAACCTGGAACACACGATGGATTAAACTGCTGATCAAAGAGAGGTGGTGCTCCACCTCACTGTGTCCGCTCTCGCTTTAGGGCGAAGCAGGCCACAGACACAAGCTTCCGGCAAGAAGAAAATGCCACCCAACCTTCCGTCTATTATTAGTTTTAGGGCAATGCGGTCGAGGCTGTATCTTCATTTAAAGATCTGGAATTCTTAATTGACGATTCGTTATCTTTTAAGGGCCTCACTCACCATTATCCTGCATCGTCTATCCGCATCACTGACATGTCCTTATTAATAAAGACATTCTTAATTTGATTCCTTCATAACTGTTTAAATTCATCCATCTGAAAGGTACTGTCTCTGCTCTGTGACATATCCACAAGGCGTACTCTTGCTGTCTGTACCCAACGTCCTTCTTTGAAATGGGGAAGAGGGCTTTTAGGTATGCTGCTCCTGCGGCTTTGGAATTTGTCGCAGATTGATTTTGGTCTCGGGGCGCTGGTGTCTCTAATAGTTTGGAGGAGTTGGAGGAAGGTACATCAGGTTGTAGATGCTTTAACTGAGCTTGCCTCTGTGCGATCCAGTAGGTGATGGACTGAGTCTTATCTGAAATGTTACTTTCTGTAGCTGTTGTTACAGACGTGTTGTTTGTCTGTGCCGCTGCCTGTCTTGGCCATGACCCTCTTGTTAAGGCGATTGTTCTCAATGATGCTTTTTTCTGGTTAAATACATTTTAAATAAGAAATAGAAATAAAAAAAAACAGGACGGCTGCTGCTATGTCCGAGCATTTTAAGGACTGTGTGTACTTGAAGTTTGCGTATTGGATGTTTAATTAAAGATGAATTCAATTCAGTTTTAAAACATTTTAATTATGTTTATATATTTTATTTTAACTTTGATCTTAGTTACTCAGTAAGCATGAACCAAGACCACAGAATGATGATGAGGCTTGTTTTCAGTCTCACAAAGGCCACTACAAACTGCTGACATTTTATCAAGACGGACAAATCTATCCTAATTGTATTAAATAGGCAGTTTTATCGGCAGCTTAAGAAATTACAGCCATTGTGAGGACGGGGAACACTGTGCGTGTTTGTGAGGGAGAGTCTGAATACACCAACATTAGTGTTGTCAGCGGAACCTGCCATTGACAGAGACAGCCTTAATCTGTTCTCAAAGCAACCACAACACAGATGGCAAGATCACACACACACACACACACACACAGTGTAAATGCAGTACTCAATACACAGAGCTCATACACACGCACAGCCTTAAGACAGAGGCAGAAATATACATGGGCAAAGTCTCTCGCTCACTCTTGCACTAACTACACACACGTGAACTCTTACACTTGATCTCTGCTGGTGACATGCAGAGTTAAACAGTGTCTTCGAAAAAGTCACACATGGGCTCAAATAATGGGATTAAACAGCAGGCTGCCGTGGCTTCCAGTCAGAGGGTGTGGGGCAAAGAGATAGAGGAAGCTTTCTCGTACTATTTTGAAAAATGTGCAATATGTATGGGGGGAAGAGACCTAAAAATGAGTTGGCACACGAGGGAAGCCAAAACAGCACAGGCTAAAAACTGTCAAGAAAAAAAATAACAAGAGCAAAAAAAATACAGCCTGTTTTGGGAAAAAGAATTAGGGAGAGGCTCTAGCAAGAGCACTATGAATGTTACTGTAGTTACTCCTGCTTTGTGATAAGAGCCCGGTCAGTAAGGGTCACCATTGTGTCCCTATAATTTATCTATGCAGCATGTATCATTAAATGTAACTTTAAAAAAAATGTATTTGATGGGAAGCACTGCATTGAAAGACAAAGAAGGATAGGGGGAAAGGAGAGGGGGAAATTGGGAGCAGGTGTACTGGGGGAAGGGGGCTGGTAATAAACTGGGGCACAACGTGTAACCAGGTCACCCAAGTGGATCAGTAAGGAAAATCATCTGTCTGTCAGCTGATTGAGTACGGCGCAGGCATGAACGGATGAACACGCACATGCTTCCATGTTTTTTTTGTTTGCTTGTGTGGACAATGATGGCACATGCTCGCATGCATGTGTACTTAATACTTGATTGACATAATTCATTCCCAACCGCCAAACCTGAACCATCATAACCAAATTGTTACCATAAACTCTGAGCCAAACCTGGACCTAAACTCTCAAACGGCCTTTTAATTAAAGAAGTGTGGACTGGCCAAAACGTCTTCCCTCACAAGGTCTTAAGCTCATATTAGTCCTCACAATGATAGATGTACAAGATCACACACAAACACACACACACACAAGTAGCATGTCGCCAGAGGGGCCTGGGGTGGGTTGAGCTGAGGAAAAGAAAAGGGGGTATCATTAAGCAGTTTCCCTGGCAGATGGTGTCTAGTTAGCTGTCCGCCCGCACAAAGAAACAACAATAGACCTTATAACACTTCCACACCAACCCACACACGCTTTAACTGTGACGCATGCTGTTCATCTTTTCTTTATTAGGTTCAGCGGTGTTGTTGTACATGTGCAGCAACTTTTTTTGACCTGAACATGAAATATTTCCCCGGCACTACTGCATATTAAACCGCTGAATCAAAACACGCATAATTAAAAATAAGCACATGGGTAATCAATGGACAGCGAGACAGGATGGATTTTGGGCATCCTTTGCTGGCATGAGTGTGAAAATAACACGAACACACTCACCCACTCACAGTATGTCAGTACATGCTGCAAGGAAAATGATCTGTCTGCCAAAGGACTGAATAGAATGAAGGAAATGAGGAAATGGACATTCGTGGGTTTTTTTCTGTTAGGGATGGCTAACCATCAGCATTTAAGAGATCATTTAAATATTCAAAAACATCTGATTGAAGGTTTCTCTTGTTTTTTGTCAGTCTGAGTCTTTTTAATGCGTCCCTTCCTCTTCAATTAATTGTTTTGTTTCACTATAAAGGCTGTATTGTTCTGTCTTTATCAAAGACAAAGAAATAAGTATCTGTCGTTCCCTCGCTCTCCACACATTATCACATCTCTGCTCTCTTTGTCTACAGTGGTTTTGAGTCGACAGCAGCGGAGGGTTCAGCTCATGCGGATCCGACAGCGGGAAGAGAAGCTGAAAAAAGAGAAGGAGAACAAAAAGAAGAAAAAACGAGAGAACCAGAAGACCACCCACAAGCAGAAAGCCCACACCCATCATCACCACCACCACCACCAGCCGTACCATCACCCTGTGGCATCCCACCCTCACCAAGCCCAGAGCTCCCAGCCACCTAAAGTCCCGCCTCCTCAGACTGAACCGGGCTACCAGCGCAAGGCCAACCCTAAAAGGCGCTTTGATGGAGATGTGCTGTCACCGGTGAGACGCAGGGGCTCCTTATTCTTAAGATGAAATGAAGTTAGGCTACAGCTATGTCGGTTAAAATGTCATGCTTTCAAGATATTTCAAGAAATAATATATATATATATGCTTTCTGGTAATATTTTCAATGTTTCTATTTAAAAAATACAAATATATAAAAATGTGTCTTTTCACTGAAACGCCCCTTTTGAAAAACTTATGTGTATGTATACCAGAGATACTTTTTCAATCTGTTTTCCTGTTTTTAATCAATTTTCTTCATCATAATCTATATTTTACTTGTTCCTCATTACACCTTTAAAGACACAGTTTGACATTTTGGGAAATAGCCCTAATTGCTTTCTTTGCCAAGAGTTAGATGAGAAGACTGATGCCACTCTCATGTCAGTACTTTCAATATGGAACTGGAGCCAGCTGCCAATTAGCTTAGCATAAAGATTGGAGACAGCTAGCCTGGCTCTGTACGATCTGCCTACCTTCATATTGACCAGACAGATACGAGAATGGTAATGATCTTTGAAGTGTACTCTTTCACGGCTGCTGTTTGTGCACTTTACTGTCAGCCTGTGCACTGTATATTTCTACCCCAACCATGTATCATCTGTCTGTCCACAGAGCTACATCAAGAGTTTCCGGGACAGACAAACGGACAGACGAGCCTACTCCCACAGTCGAATGATGAGCCGCTCCCGCATGGCCGAACTCGACTACGACTGCGGCTCTCGAGTGCCCCTCACGGCTCCCAGTGGACCACCAGTTCGCATCTGATACAAGGAAATGAACATGCGTACACCTAACCACACACACACACACACACACACACACACACAATTACACAAGGCTACTTCAAACCTCTTTGTCACTGTTAGGGATAGAAAAACTAACCCTATGTGCCAACCTTATCAAAAGCCTAATAACCCAACAGGAACGCAATATGTTCCAATAAGGTGGTGAGTCCCAGACTGGTTTTCTCCTCTCAGACCTGTTACAAGTTGTGTTTTTTTGACCGGTTTGGTCCTGTTCTGTTCTTTATGACCGTCAAGACACAACACGAGCCCCTCTTCTTTTGGATGGAGCAAGAACTGATTGCTTGGTCAAATCTCAAACACAGTCATCACACACTGAATTGGACTTGAAACCTGTTTGTACTGTTCTGGAGGACACTGGAAATAATGGACCTGTCTGGTGGGGAGTTGATTAAAATATCTCTGTTGAACATTTGATTTAAAGAATGTTCTGGTTGCTTCAAGCCATAAGAAGTCATTTCCAGTGGGATTGCAGTGGGGGAAACTATCAAAACATTACTTTCTCCACAGGAGAGCTGCACCATTTCAGATACAAATGCATCACACGGCTTCCATGGAGTCAAGGTAGCACAACCTTCAATAAACCTTCCACAGCAGCTTTAGTTCAAGGGAAATGAAGGAGGAAACGATTTGCTTCACGGATTCCATTCAGAGCGCTCAGAGGAATATGACAGAAAAACAACAACAGGAAACACAGCTAGCACTGAAACAGAAAGGCAGCTCTTCTTCATCATTTTCTCCACTGTAAGGTCACTGTGTGAAGGCAGGTGTACGTGAAGTCAGCCTGTTATCTTCTCTGACAGCCTGTGAATCCAGACATGGCAGCACACGTCTTCTGCTGCTTCAAACTGCAGAACAGGAACTCCTTTTAGGTGTGCATAGGATCAAAGAGTTAACACCGAAGACAATTTTAATGTTATTTCACCCACGAGCACTCCATGTGTCATTGCCTACATTTATGCCATTTTCCAAGGGGAATGTGCTTGCATCTCATCACTCTCCTTTTCTCCTTGACAGCCAGCTGTTTGAGCAGGAAACACATACGTACCTCTCGTCTTCTTTTTGAAAGCTACTGTATGTGATTATCCTCGTTGAAGTGTTTCTGAACGCTCACACGTCCATTTTCCTCTTGTTATCCAAGTACAAGTCGACCTTTGTTGAATTTGTCAGCTGTGTCAATATAATGTTAAAGCACAAAGACAAGAAACTGCTATCTGATACTGGTCATCCAGGAATGAGACGGTTGAAATTCAGAGTTTGGAGGGGACAATACATGGCAGTGAAAATGTTAAATATAGTGTGTTTGTGTGTGTGTGTGAGTGGACACAGAAGCCCTGTGGTAAGTGATGGATTGCACCACATACTGGCCAAGGAGAGGGGGGGATTCATTGTCGTGAATGCTGTATTTTTGTCCCTCTTTTTTTTTTTTTGCCAGTATACTGGTCCTGTTTCAGATGTGAATCTTATAGTTTGGATGAAGTGTTAAATGATGAAAAGGAGGAGGAGGAAGATAATCTCCTGTAAATGATGAAACATAATGAAAAGATGAAACCATTTGCAAACAGCGCCCTCTCATGTTTACTGCTAGACCTTTTCTTTCTAGACTTGACTGTTTTTGTGCGCATATGTTCGTGTGTTACATGCATTTGCGTGTGAATGGCTTTTGAATTCAAACGCGCTCCGCGCATTAATGTTGTCGTGTCGAACATCCGGAAAAGGTGAGGGAGTTAGATTTGTACAAGCAGTATTTTCAGGAACAAAGGAACTTGTTTTATTTGAACCTCTTTTGGAATTGACGTACGGTAGTTCCTCACCATAAAGACCAACACTACCCAGATTTTACTTCATGAGGTTTAGATGGACAAAAAGATTCCACAGTACTGTTCTTAAATACTAAATATCTAAATATGGGCTTGGCACCAGGACCAATCTTTCTCACCTCAACCCGTTACTGCATGAGAATCCTTGTGTAACTGTTTCCAATGTGTCAGTGTTTCAGTGTGTCACTGTTGTCATGTGAAAACCTCAGATTTCCATTTTGGATTTGTTGGTCCCAGGGTGCACAAAACACAATCCACAATGACTGATGAAAGGACCAACCACAGCCTATTCTGCCACAGGATCAACTCTTCTCTTCTCTTCTTGTTCCCTCCTCTTGACATGCATTATGCTCAGTCCCCTTCTATTCTGCTGTATCATTGTTATGCCAATAATGTTGTGCAGTAGTGGCTGTACAAGTGTTACTTGGGGTTTTGCTCACTCTAGTCATCAATGTCTTTAACATTAACATTGAAAGACAAAAAATGACAAAATGGTAATTCAAAACATTTGTAAGTTGGGCCTGAAATGGATTATCAGAAATACATTTTCTGTTTTCTGTGCCCATTGCTACTGAATATTTGTTGGGGAAATGCTTGTTGTAGATATTGAACTGTAAATAATTTTCAAATGTGCAACTGTTTTACTTTAATTTTATCCAGCAGATTGGACCTGTTTTATATTGTGTTTCTACTGTACGTCCTATTGGTTTGACTGGGTGGTGGATGCACTTGTATCGTTCTCATGCTGTTCTTTCAGCGTGTGATGTTGAAGAGCAGCAAACAAACTGAGCCTCAACTGATTATCAGCAACCATTAGTAATTTAATAATTGCTCCACATTGTGAGAAGACGCGACAATTAATTTTCCTACCACCCTGTTTAAATGTGTACAAATCACCTTATTATTATTATTATTATTATTGATAGCATGAATTTATATGGACCTACAATATGATAAACATTGTGATTCTACAATCTGATGGATTTGTTTGTCTCCACTGTTCCTACATAGGGATGTATGTATACAGAGGTGCATTCATGAGTACAAACAACAAATATTCTCTGAAGCATATCAAAAAATCATGCGCACCACTACCACAAACACGTTCCTGTCTGCCTGACTTGCACGTTCCTAACCTAGCTAACCTATTTAGTGGTGTTGCGTGAAGTTGCAATGGTCAGGTGCGCTGTACTATCGAGCATTGTGTGACACTACACCTAACACTTAGAAAATAGAAAATGTACAGTTACGTGTGGAGGCAGGTGCGGCGTGTCAGTGCAGGCACACACACATACACACACACATGCATTTCACGTAACAGTCACAGTTTATAGAACTGGCTGTATTGTACATGAGGTCTCCACAATAATGTATTTTTGTGTTAAAAAAAGGAAGCTTTAAGCAGCACAACAAAGGAGCCATGTGTAACATTTTCTACTCCTAAATTCCTCAACATATACGTTCAACCAGCTGAGAGAGGAGAAGTCACAGACGTTGACTTCATTTGAAGGAAATGGAAGAGGAACATGCTGCCCTTTTTTATTGTCCTATAATGATTGGGAAGCTGAGGGCAGTGGCGAAGAAACCGTGACAGAGACAGAAAGTTCTGATCAACATGGCTCAAAAGCATTGAAAGGACTGCCTCTCACTTTCTTTCTCTCTGTGTCTTTGTTCAGCCTCGTCCCTTTTTCTTTGTGTCCGAGTAACCTTTTCATTACATTTGTACCCTGTCTCTCTGTCTCTTTCTCGTTGTCTCCCTGTACCACTCTCCCGGTCTCGCTCTCTTTCTTGCATGCTCGTTTATTGTCTGCCTTTGCTGTATTTTTCTTTTCGTTCTCCTCTACCCTCACTTTTTTTTTTTTTTTTAATCTTTGCTGACATTTTCAGTCCAGTGACTTCAGACACAAACGGCATGGACTATAGAATTCTAGATGATGTGCTAATCTGCTTCCTGCGAGAAACAAAGCACGACGGAGGCCAGCTCATTAACAAGCCATTGTTCACTTTTCCTTGCACCGAGATCAGTCCTGTTACTGATCATTTCAACAGGGAGGCAACTCCTATTTTCTGTATAAAAGTGCATTCAATCTTAACAGAAGATGGTCACGCTTGGCTGGGAGAGCTAGTATCATTTCAGGAAGCTAAAACAGCTCACATCAGATGATGAATGCAGTGAAGTAGTCCATAAAGGAACCAACGCAAAGGCATGCGCGCTATCAGGAATACTAATGAGTAGATTTAAAATGGAGACTATCTTAGACAACACATGTGCTATGTATAAAACATCTTTAGAAACTGGCTGACTCAGGTGACAAACGGTGGTAACAACTGTCTTTATTTGAGTTTCTGGCCACAGGGAAGCAGCATAACATGGTCACCCTTTCTCATACAATCAAACACACAGCACATGCTTTTGAGCTCAAATTTCAAACATGACTGAGTTCCTTTTTCATCAGATGTCTATGTTTCAGACACAACATCTCACTTTCCTTAAATCCGTTACACAAATATAAGCCTTCTTAATCAAGTTATATCCTTGTACATTTGCACAGAAACACTTGGAATATGTGCAGTGAAAAGTAAACATTACAATATTACTTTTGACCATGGTGTTTGAGGCCCATCGCTCTGTCTTGCACCTTGAAAACCTCCCTGTGGATACTGGGCCCACACAAAGCCTTGTTTGTTAATTTGAAACTCTATTCTTGCCATTGAATTATTTTTGCAGACAAGATAAAACAAATCCATGTGTTTTTGAGAGAAGGAAAGTAACATGAATAAAGCATAAATCTTGGAATGACCATATTTTAAAACCAGGCCAAAAACAGTGATAGAGCATACTGCATCTGTCCTGTGTAAGATGTATATACTGTAGTACAATGTCTAAAGATTTAACTGGTTGGGTTCCCTCATATCATTTTGTGTTTACATTTAAATCATCTTAAATGTTTAACGTTTTGTCCCTAAAAATAGGCTCAGCTTATAAATCGTGGTCGGAAAATATAAATTTGTGTACTATTTTGTATTAATTGGTTATATATAGTGTTGGTAACGTTGCCTCGTCCGGTTTACATGATGTCTTGCTGATGCTGTGTTGACTCGCTGACAACCTGAGGAGGAGAAAGATAAAAAAGAAAAATGAATTATCTACGTTAAGGACTGTAGAGTGTTGCAGATAATACGTGACAGTATTTTCCATCAACAGTGAAGCAGGATTTTTTTCGTTTGGAGTGAAGTGCTGTGCGTGGGGATGGGCACTGAAAGTGAAGCTTCTTCACAGAAGCCGGTGAGGAGTGTTGAGGTTCACTTATGTGTCTATAAAGGGTCGGCACAAACTACAAGATCTCAGGGAGTTAGAGAATATAATTTGTTTTTGCAGCTGTGATTCCAATACATAGATTGCTTTATACTCTCTGCAGGATCCATCCTGTCATTGCTGTCATAGCCACATGCAAACTTCGGCCTATTTTAGGCACAGATCCAAAATCTGGTAGTTTGCTTCAGCCCAGTGAACAGATGATAGTGGGATATTGGAACCAGACTTACAGACTGGGCACTAGCGCCCTGGCTCATAGAATACTTCATCTGGATAAGAATATAACAAATGAAAATGGTTCAGTTGGAAAATTATAAATGTCATCTCGAAACTGGTGTCACAGTATATTGGGATAGGTGTGTTGAGTATCACAGTATATATGTTTGCGTGTGTGCTCGAACCTCTCCATCGCGGGTCTCTATGGTCTTGATGATAACAGTCTTCTTGGAGTGAACCTCTGAGGAGCGCGGTTGCTTGGACTCGGGACTGGTCTCTGAAACGATGCATTCATACAGCTGTTTTACTACTTCATAAACTCAAACAATAAGCTTTACTACACTTACACCAAGTTCATTCAGTCAGAAGACATTAGCTCAACATTGTTCTAATTAGCTTTGAATAACATAATGACACGCCTTGCACATGAAGGGGACAGCCGTGAATCAGTCTGTGGCCCTAGTATGACTGCCACTTAAAAGATTAATATTCAAACTCATATCCTGCACTCACTGCATCTAATACATCATCCTTAATTACTGCTCAATGTTTTTGTTTAAGCAGCCACAAAGTGGCTCAAGGGGACACATTGGCAAAGATGAATTGCACATTTGGACTATTGATACATCAAGCTAATGGGCTAAGTTGTGTGATTATTGATGTGTGGCTTGCTGATGATTGCCCCTGTGCATAAAAAGCCATGAAGGTTTTTGACACGTCATGTATCGCCACACGGTGGTTAGAATGTGTCACTGCAGGATACGCAACTTGTAATGGCCTCAAAATAGCACCTACCATATACAGTCCCAAGCTATAATTAGTCTTTTCTTTTATCCCTCATTGACTCCTCCGGAATGTAAAATGGATTTTATGGGTATTTATTTGTGCACTGTTGCTCCTACCTCTGCATCCAATAGAGGAATAAGCAGACTGGACAGGCATGGTGGTCGTGATCCTGAAGGAGAAACACATATTTCAACATCACAAGTGGATAATAGGAGGGAAATACAAAAATACAAATGAAGTCAAAACGTAAGCTGTTTAGCTTCAGCCACATCCGAACGTGAACAGCACACACACACACACCTGCTCTCCTCTCCCTCCAGCAGCTTGCGGTAGGTGGCGATTTCAATATCAAGGGCCATCTTCACATTGAGGAGGTCCTGGTACTCTCTCAGGTGACGAGCCATATCATCCTTTGAATCAATACATAAGAATGTTGATCGTCTGCTCAAACACACTTCACACTGAGCACATCCTCAACAGTAAATGGATCAACGCTGTTTGAAGGAAAAGCTGTTGTATATTTATAATAGCTGTGAAATCACAAACATAGACAGTGTTCCCATTGGAGCTTTCAGTCAATTCCTAATTTTATAATAAAAAGCTACATAGTGTCTAGATCTATGATCTCTAGTCAAAGATTATTACCAGAGTGAAACATGTCCTAAATTCTGCACCATACTTTCTATAATCTGTTGGACTGCAGAGTCCGTGTAAAATCACTAAGCTAATTACCTTCATCTTAGCAATCTCTTCCTCCAGCCCTGTGATAGTATCCTGGTACCCAGAAGCCTCGTTGGTCATGCGGTCCTCCATGTCTCTCATCTGGCGCAGCAGAGACTCGTTCTACAAGGGAACAGAGGCATGCAGTTAAAAGTGGAACAAAGAGGTCGAACCCAGAATGAAAGCGGTCAAAAGACGGAGACAAAGGCGGTGTGCCATCGATGGAAAGTATTGTTATATTTATTAAGAAAATAAAAGTTTGAACAACACTGAGAGGGACTGCAGGCAATACTCACAGTGCCCTTGAGCGAGTCAATCTCACAGGTGAAGGACTGGATCTGGTGCCTGTACTCCATGGACTCCTGCTTGGACTGACGCAGCGAATCATTGTTCTTATTCACAACCTGGTTCAGATCAGTCACCTGAGGAGAGAGGGGATGAGGTATTAAAAACACAACAGCTGAATCAGACTATCCGTGTGTGTGTGTGTGTGTGTGTGTGTGTGTGTGTGTGCTCATGCCCTACCTTAGACTTGTACCACTCTTCAGCCTCTGAGATGTTCTTGGCGGCGATGCCCTCATACTGCACACGGATGTCCCTCAGAGCGGCAGTCAGGTCGGGTTTAGACATGTCCATCTGGATCTGCACCTGTGAGTCCTGCATTTGGCTCTGCAGCTCACGGATCTCCTGCAAGGTGACAAGAAAATAAAAATACATACATATATATATTATAAACAAAATAAGAAAGGAATTATGACAGGATGGGGATGAGGAAGAAATCTTTTTTTTTGTGGGGAACAGATTAGGACACAGAAAGCAAAGCTCTAATTTAAGCCTGGTCTGCACTAATCACCAATGTCAAAAAGAAACAATTTGGCATTCTATTCTATTTACATATTAATATAGAGGTACAAAAAAAACACAAATTAGCCCGGTAGTGCATTTCTTAAAACAATATTAGAAATCAAGAATAGCACTGGATAACATTGTGAAACTAGTAAGCTTTGGTCCCACTCAGCTGTCTTCTGGTCAAACCAGAAGATATAAAAAGCTTTGCATCTGTTCACATGCACACATTCTTTCTCCCTCTCTATCTCCCTCACACACAGACACACACACACACACAACAGCTGACATGCTCTTCTACCAATCGGCAGTTCAGCATTTCTGAGAGGTCAAAGCTGAGGCCGAGGTGACAAAAGGGAACGGGAACTCAACTGTGCCGGCGTATGTCTGGGTGTGTAGCTCGGTATGTCCTTTGATGTCTGTGGGTGAATGGCACAAATGTGTCCATTGCACTTTTTTCCATTTGCTTTGCCTATGTATATGTACCTATGTATATGCCCAAATAGTTGTATTTTGTATTGGGAGTGTTGGACTGTGTAAATGTGCATAACAAATATATATATATATATATATATATCAGTGGGTGTGTTTGAATGTGATCTCTTTGAAGAGCTGCAGGCCTGCAGAGGCTCAGATATATCTAATGTTACAATATAGCCTCACGCAGAGTTGTAATATGATACAGCACACACATATACATAATACATAGACATACTGAAGGTGTGGTGGCCTGCAGAGTGTATAGACATATCAACAGACCTCTTCATGAATCTTCTTGAGGAAGGAAATCTCCTCTTGCAGGCTCTCAATGCGTCTCTCCAGGTCCAGCCTGGCCAGAGTGGCATTGTCAACATCCTGGATACAACACAGACACAGAACAATTTTAAACATAACTAACAGAAGAGGTCAAAAGGTGTAGTGGGGGGGGTGGGGAGAAGTTATAGGAATAAAGTGGTGGATGGGAGACTGAAGACAGTTGTGTGAGCATGGAGTGTTTCACTTTTTACTTCAGGCTTTGGGGATTAAATGAGATGTGTTGAGATGTATTTAGATATAAAGCAGTGATTTTATAGAATTAGAGAACGTACGGCTCTGAAGGCAGAAAGGTTGTTCTCAGCCTCTTCCTTCTGGTGGATCTCCTCCTGCAGTCTGGAGAACAAGGGCAGAGAAGGTTGAAACACACAACGACTACAAACAAAACAACTGTGTTAGAGAGCATGGCTTCTTCTCCAGGGACCAATTACGAGACAAATAAACTAGCTACACCTCTCATTCCTCCAGCCTTCTGCGCTCTGTTCTTTTCGGCTTATTATATTAGAACTGACGAGACAACGACACATTTATTTGTGTCCATATCCACACACACACCAAACCAAGTCTTCACCTAAAAATGTAAATGATCTACATTATGGGGATGTGCATGTTGTCCCCAAAAGGAAGGCAAGACCCCATAAGTGAGTAATGCATCCGCGAGCACACTCCTACACACACACACACACACACACACACACACACACACATTTGCTTTTTGAGTCCTAAAGCTGTGATGCAGCTGCTGTCACACTGTCAGAGTCAGAAGGGTAACAGTGAGAGAGGAACAGAGAGGTGTGCCCTCAGGGGTGCTGTCTCTAAAATAAGCATTTCACTTTGCCCCCTGAACAACTGGAAAATGTAGAAAGAAATGCATTTATATAATGTATGCATATTGTGACGACCCCGCAACAATATATATATATATATATATATATATATATATGGTTGTTTGTAAGGATAACGAGTGTGTGTGTGTATGTGTGTGTGTATGTGCGTGCGTGCGTGCGTGCATTGTAACTGTTGACAGGCAGGGGGTCTCTGTGAGTATTTTGATCTCAGTGAGAGCAGCAGGTGCTTTGGCAAGTTTCACTCAATGGTTCAGGCAACCATTTAAAAGAAAGTGAAAAGTGAATGTTCTATACAAACTTCCATTTAAGAGATGCTGCCTGCTATTGCTGGGACAGGAATACAAAATCCAAAGAGCTGACCCAGCAGCTACAAATAGACCACTCAGAGATACACCCACATCACAGCTCTCTCTCTCTCTCTCTCTCTCTCTCTCTCTCTCTCTCTCTCTGTCACAGTCTTTTGGATTTTCTTAAATGTTTGTTCTTTTAATCTTAGTTTTACTTTCGCCATTCGCAAACATAACTGGCTGTGTGTGTTCATCTGTCATCATACTTCTCTTTGTGCTTGGCTAAAACTTTATCTGTCTGTCTGTCCTCAGCTTCATTCCTATTGGGCTATAAGTCTCTCTCTCTCTCTCTCTCTCTCTCTCTCGAAATGTCTTTAATGCCACATGCTGGGCTCTTCTCCCTTCTCCTGCTTTCCATTTCTCCCCATTGTCTCTTCTATATAAACATCCAGCCATGAGTCACCCTGTTTTAGACAAGCAGTTGCCAACCTGTGGGTCAAGAGCCCCAAAGGGGTCGCAAGAAAAAAAACTGAAGGGTCATGACATGAAAAATATGAAAAAAATGTAACAGTATTTCTGTTACACCTATTTTATGAAAGGTGGACATCACTATCTGGTTAAACTGCTCAGCACAGGCCCAAAAAGTTGGAAACCCCTGATGAAGACATTTATACTCCCCACTAATAGAAGTGCAATGTGACCGGGACTCTAAACTATTCAGCTGGTGTTTATATTTCTGATACAGTTAACATTGGCCTCTTCCTCACTCAGGTTTCTGGAACATACCGTTAAAACAATAAGCTGCCTTCCGCCCTTTTTCCTCATTCATTGACACTCTTTAACGGTGCATCCATTGGTACACATCAATCCATCTGCTCATTCAGCCATCCTCCAACCTACCTAAGCTTCAGTTTCTGCAGGTCGTCACCCAGGTTGTCTCTATCAACCTCCACGCGGGCGCGCTGGTTGGAGAGGGTCTCTATTTGCCTCCTCAGCTCCCTCATTTCCTCCTCAAACATCTCAGCCACGCGCCCGTGCCCCTCGCGGCCTCTCAGCTGCTCAATCTCCACCGTCAGCGCTGAGTTCTGCTGCTCCAAGAAGCGCACCTTCTCGATGTAGCTGGCGAAGCGGTCATTGAGATGCTGAAGCTCGGCCTTCTCGTTGGTCCTTGTGTTGAGGAAGTCCTGGTTCATGGCATCGGCCAGGTTGAAGTCGAGTTTCTCACCAGAATAGGTGCGCATGGCTGAAGAGGAGCCGAACCCAGCTCCCCCAGCACCAGAGGACACCCGGTATGCAGAATAGGAGGGAATAGCGTTGCTCTTAACTTCATAGACTCTGGAAGACATGCGGCTTCCAGAGGAGCTTCGGCCACCGCCTCCAGATGAGAAGACGGAGGACATTGGGGTTGACCCGACGCCAGAGCCGAAGGTGCGACGGTACGAGGAGGCCGTCTGGGCTGAAGATGAATAAGACTTACTCATGGCTGGTTGACTGTTTGGTTGTCTTGTGGTCTTGATGGCGGTTTCTGAGACCCAACTGTCCCACTGGGCAACTGGGAGAGAAGCGAAGTGAAGAAATACCAGACACTGAGCACAGCTATTTGTAGATTTACCACACCCACTCCCAACCCAAACCCTCCAATCCGTCCTCCCTTGCTCTCCATTGACCCCGTCTGTAATCCCACAACCTCCAACTCCACCCCTCCACTTTACCTAAACCCAATTTTCTTTCAATTGATCACACTGCAAGTATTTTAAATCCAGGCTCCATCTGAGGAAAGATCACAGTAGACCCATTGTGGAAGATGGCTTCACAAAGGGAAAACACAATGGAGATGCCAATCAAATGTTAGCAAATGTCTTCCATTCCTACTCCAGGATACTTTCATCTAATCATCTTTAATCTGTAAATGAGCAAAAATGGTGCCCTTCTGGTAAGACTATGAGGATGCTTTTGAAAAAAAGGTAATAGTTAAAAACAGAATAATATGGCTGCTTTAGTTTAATTAATACAGTGAGTTGACTTCTTGTTTTCAGGAAAAATTATATTGCTTAGATGACATTTTTGTAAATCATTTTATTTCGGTATCTTGGTATGTCATCCATATGTCACATCTCATCCCCCTCTCGGGCCCTTCTGTCCTAATTCCTCCCCCCATGTGCCTGTTACGTGCCCTCGATTCAGCTGTCCAAGGGTTCTGGTTTCAACTATCAGGAAAGGGTGGTGGCCTTCTGTGTGCTTGCCTGTATGTGTGTGAGTAAGGGAATGAGTCAGTCAGTCTCTGCAGTTGTCATGGGCTTCTTTCATGAACACTATCTGTAAACCACATTCAGAGGAAATATAATCCACCGGGGTGCTACAAATCCATATGTCAGTGGACTGAAATAGATCACATCCCATTTTAAGTCAGTTTAGAATAGCTTGACATGTTTGAAATAGCAGGTGTACTTGTTGTAATTCAGTATATGGAAGGTTTACGGGGTTAAACAAACTGGATCATGAAAGCACACTCCTCTTTTTGTTGAGATATCATTTTTATCGACCCATAACACGTTAATGACCGCCACTTTTCAAAACCTTACACCGTATTCATTTAATCTCTGAAGTCACATAATATTATATAGCAGTTGATCCTAATGCCTCACAATAGGATTTATCTTGTATAATCTTTGAGTTACGGTGCTACCCTGCCAGTAGCCATAGAGCTACGATAGAGTTATGTGTTTCCCCTTGGTTACATAAGGAGCTGTATGGTTTGACTGATAGAGGTGCTGCTGGGAGGGTCACTCACACTCTCCATTTTGTCATAAGCACTATCCACTGGACTGACACACCCTCTATGTGTGTGGACAAACCTGCACAGATCAGCAAGCACTATTGGTTAAATGCAGCATTTTAACATTTTTATGTGTGAGCGGTAATACCAAAAGACTACCAAAAAACATCAGTTAGATTAAGGTTAGGCTAATGGTTGGGGTTTAGTAGGAAGTGGGGTTAAGGTAACCCTCCAGTAAATGAATGATATTAATATACAGTATATTAATAAATGTGTTTACAAGGTCCTTTGCAGCATAGCACTACATATTGTGTATGTGAGTATTTGAATGAATGCTGTTGGTGTATACCAGACAGACATTGCTCACAGGCTGCACAGCTGAGAGCCAGCCCACAGGCTCGTGAGGCGTCTCTGTCCTGCCCTGTCATCAGACCTACTGTGTGTGAATGTGTTGGTGGTAATGAAGATGATAATGAAAAGGCCGATGATGATGAGGAATCTAGTTTTAATAGATGCAAATAAAACTAACAAGAGAGTAGGGGAGATGTCATTCAAGTGCAGTTTGTGCACACTTACACAATTCTGATACGTTAAACCACCTGTTTGGTTTGACCATTGGTGTGTTGAGGCTTTAAGTGTTTTCATACTTGGTCTGTCTTTTCTAGTCTCACAATATCTAAACAACAAGTTTAAATGAAATAAATGAAATGAAATAATTAGAAGTAGTAAAGCGATGACATCCCTATAAAAGCCAGTCTGTAAAAATGGGTTTTAAGAAGTGATTTAAAAGAGATTACTGATTTTGCAAGCCTTATCTCCTCAGGCAGGTCGGTCCAAAGCTGAGGGGCCCTGATGGCAAAAGCACGGTCACCTTTAGTTTTTAGCCTCCACTTTGGAACAGCCAGAAGGGCCTCACTCGAGGAGCTAAGGCTGCAGGCTAGCTCATTTCCAGGGGTCAACATTTCTTCATATATTTTGGGGCCAAACCCATACGTGCTTTAAAAACCACATTGAATAAAACCGCTTTGTGATCAGACACACAGATATCCTTAGTCTCAAAGTTGTCAGGGGCAGAGAGCACTGTAAATCACCAGGTCAAGGATGTGACCCTTTGAGTGTGTGGGGTCCTAAAAGATTCCAGGGTGTTCATAATCAGTGACAAAAGTCTGGGAAGGGCAGCAGACATGTATGTTTAAAATCACCTAAGATAAAAATGTTGTCATACTTTGATGTAAAATGGGATAGTAACTCAGCAAACTTTTGGATAAAAACACTGTTAGGCCTGGGCGGTCTGTAGATTATTAAAATGATCACAGGATCTTTAGAGTTTACGATAAAACCAAGATGTTCAAATGATGGTAGTACAGTAAATGGGGTAAATTTGCCCGACAGCCTATTCATTCGTGTTTATCCTGAAGAATGAATTAAATTATGGGGAGTTTGTGTGGTGGTCGTGCAGGTATTTGTGTTTCACAGAGCAGTGTGTGTGTATCAGCTGCTGGTCGTGTCAGCTCTATTTTAAGCATTTGAACTCGGTTTTCCAGACGCTTTACATAGCATCATGGGACTGAAGTTAGAACCAGACACCCTCAACAAAAATAACAATAATGATGCTGCTGCTTTTACTGATGTCCTAGGATACTGCTGACAACCAAACTGTGATTTCAAGTACCAAATGAAAAAAATGGTGACCAAACACAACTGCTAAGTCTTATTGAAGGAATTCTAAAATCAGAATATAATATGGAGTTCTAATGCTTACATAAATCTAGGAAGTGAACTTTCCTATAGCTTTATGCTACTGTCCTGAAACTGAGTATGTTCCTCATTATCAGAAGGTCTTTCTGTCCTTTTTGGCTCTGGGAATCCAGGACTCACCAGGTCCCTTCCAGGACTATGACTTTGCTCGTTCCAATGCCAAAGGCCCAAGTGGTCCGGGTAAGATCCCTGAATAGACAGGGGCTCAGTTTTGGAGCGGGATGCAGACACACAACAAGGTTTCAGATATGAGTTTTAGAGTCATTAGTTTAAACAGTTACCAGAAATGATGTTGGGGCTTTTCACTTTGACAGATGATGTGAGAGGACCTGATATGAGCGAGATGTGACTTGCCTGTATTGTATTTTGATATGACTGGAGCACTCATCCTGGAGTTTCCCATGTTGAAGAGCACATCATCAGCACAACACAGAAAATGAGTTCCGAGTTGCCTAACAACCCCACAGGAGCAATACCTGACCTGTAGCCCAGTAAGACACTCTTAAATTAGCATCCAGATCCCGGCATGACGGGAACATATATCACACAGACAGACGCATGCACCATGTCTGAGAATACCAACAGTACATGGCAGCCAAACCCTACAGTGCCATGCCATTATTCTTTTTTGGGGAATAATGCAATATTATAATATTTGTAAAAAAGTCCCCAACTGTGCGTTAGAAAAAGCCAATTAACCCAATGATGTTGTACACCACAGATCTCTATTTTATTGCTTTGTCTGGATTTTTTTTTGATTGAGTCATAGATAATTTTCCAAAAATTCATTTGTTTCCGCCTTCTCCTTTTCACAATGAGATATTATCACTGCCATTAACCCTGCCTGGATTTTACACGTTGGTAAATGTCTTGTACTAAAATGTCATTTATAGAGACATAATTGTGCCAGTTCTATCTATCATGTCGTCTTTACTTTACTCATTCACCATGTTTGGAATGCTGTGACAGTCAGGAGCCATGCAGTGTGGATGACATGATGGTAAAATGTGTGAGGATCCTGTTTTAACCACCGGACAAGGGACACTAAGCCACAGAGGCGTTTTAATTACACAGACGACATTACAAAGACACCTTTACATTGATTTGTGTTCAGGTGAATAAACAATTAGTTTACTAGATCTGGTGATAAGAGTAGCAGTATAATAGAGATACATGGTGAAAATCCTATGCTGTTTTAAATAGTGTGTACAGGTGAAGGGTGTTCAGCTGGTTTCATCCTGCATAGACACTGTATGCAGGTTGCCCAGCAACCAACCAAACACGCATACACACATGCCAATGTGTTGAGCCGTCGCACAAAAGTGACACAATGATGAACGGATGAGAGCAAAGGAGAGGAAGACAGAGAGATAGACATAGGCAGTCCTTGTGTGTGTGTGTGTGTGTGTAGGCGTGTAGGTAGGTGTGTGTGTGTGTGTGTGTTTGTGTGTGTGTGTTTGCATGTTTGTGATTGCATGCAAGCATGTAACATGGAAACCAGAATATCTTTAGACATACAGGGAAACTCGTTCCAGATCTATTTGAGGTCTATCTTAGGAGAGATATGATATCAAAAGCCAGATAAGACAATGTGCCAACAATTTGACGTCAAATCAAATAACGTGATTTATGACTCATGCTAGATAGAAAGGCTCCTTCCTCTTTTATCACAGTCAAGCTGGCTTTAATTTATAATACAATTTCATAGACCTAACCCCAACCATTTTTAGCATGGAAATACAATTCACTGGTATCATTATTATAATGAGTTATTATTGATAATCAAATAAGGGTTTGCTAGTATAGCAGATTGCTAAACATTGATAAGAGATCATGGGTGGATGATAGCTTAGTGCATGGGGCATTTAGACATTGTAGCCTATTCCAAGTGTCTCAGTCTCAAACAATGTAATGATGTAAAGACTATCACACAAGGCATTACACTTAACAGGAAAATAGACGTTTGCATTCATATTGAATATTTTATAAATATATTATAGAGAGAGAGAGCTACAACATGGTAGTTCAGTTTGTTTTCTTGAAAGACACCAGAG